AAAAGGCGGGAGGAAAATATTAACCGATTCAGTTCGAAATTCGCTTCTTTTTCGGAACGATGTTTTTTCTTTTTTTTTTTTTTTTGATCGGTATCACGATACTTTCTGTCGCATTATTAATCGTGAATCTGTGAAAAAAGTGTCTTCGAAGAAAAAGTTTGTTGCAAATATTCGCGGGAAAGAGAAATTTTTAAATTTGGAAGATATCGGAAGTTATTTAAAAAGAAGAAAAGAGTATTCTTTTTAAAGTAACGAGATAAATAAGAAATTAAGATCGATACCGCGCATACCATCTTCTTATATCAACATTTAAAAGACCGATACATTTTTCTTTTTTTTTTTTTTCCTTTCACAAAAGATACGTTTCACTCGAGCATCATTGATAAAACTGCGCGGATAATAAAATAATAAAAATTGGCGCATATATAATAAAGCGATCCTTTGTGATCGGTCGGCGAACAGCCAACATTATCATTATTATTATTACTGCACGATCCAATACTTTCCTACTCTCGGACTTATCGCGTCATCCTCGAACGAGGAGATCTCCCGTTCTCTCTCTCTCTCTCTCTCTTTCGAATCGAAGATCAAAGAAGCGTTCTCGCTTCTATAACCAACTAAACGGACTAAGGAGATCTCTCTTTCCCCTCCTCTCTCTCTGTTCGTTGCAGGGCAAACAGGGTAAAATGAAAGAGATGTATCAGCAAGCGGTAGCCGGAAGCGAGCGCGTGACGAAGATCAATGCGGCGGAGGAGATCCAACACTCGACCCACGCTCGTTCCATCAAAGAGAGATTCGAACGTGGCGAGCCCATAGCCGCGTCCGACGACGAGACGGACAGCAAACCGAAACCGGAGAAGGCTGACGAGGAAGTGATCGCAGCAGGTGCATTTTACATCCCGGTTAACGTATACGCATATATATATATATACATATATTTAGAACCCGTTAAATGTAATTAGCCGCGTTGGATCGTTGGTCGAAAACTGCCAGCGGCCGCCGCTCAATTTGCTACCATGTGCGCGAACCGGTGATCGTGGTCACTTAGGAGAGTGCAGCTATCTCTTAAGATAGATGTTGTAGCTGTAGGTTATAAGTGGAGTGAAGCCGGCTCCGGCCCTCCCCCCCCTCCTTCCCTCTTATTTGCTCTGTAGTTGGCTCGTAATTCGATCTCTATCGAAAACACGGATAAATGGATCGATCGATCCGATGTGGTGCGCAGGGATCAGCAGGAAGTCTCGGTCGCTTTTCCTGGAACTGGACGCGACCGCAGCCAAAACTGGAAGACCGGTGACCCCCGTAAATCCGAAGACACCGGCTGAACAATCGCGACGCGCCAGAGACGTAAGTTTTTCTTCTTTTTCTTTCTTTTCTTTTTCTTTTTTTTTTTTTTCGTTTATTTTTTGCGTGGTCCGATTAAATTCATAAATTCTTTTTCTTAATTAATATTCGAGGCTTCGATATTTGTTTGAAAGAGATCTTAAGACAGAGATAGAGGAGTAAGGTTTGACGATTAACCTTTGCGGGACGTTTGAATTGGTTAAAAATTGGATCGGATAATTGTTACAAAAGTTTTGATGTGGGCAGCACACAAGTTTTTCGGAACAGGGCTCGATAACTTTGACCTTTCTAAAGGTTTAAAAGTGTCGAGCCACGAGACGAGAGAGGCGTCCATTAAGGGTTAATCGAATCGAGAGACGCGCGAATTTTGAACTCGTTGACCGATTAAATTAATCGTTTGAAATGATGGCATGAACGAAGGCATTCATGGGACGGCAAGTCTCAGACGACGTGGTGCGAAGCTCGGACACAACCGAGGAGGTTCAGGTCGAGACCTCGGACATTTCGAATAAGTTCAAATTTTTCGAGTCGTACAAGGAGCCGGAGAAACAGCGGAAGCAGTTCCGAATTACCCCTCCCCGCGACGGTCAAGTCAAGGTTCGAGGATTTTTGCCCGAGTGCGCATCGATTGACCATGATTGAAATTTCCCCCTCCTCCTCCCCATTAATATTTTCTAACCAAGCGTGGTGGTTTTTTTTCTTCTTTTATTCACACACTAACCTTTTTGCTCGTTTAAACATTCGTCGCATGGTTTCCTCGCACAAAATTCCTCTTGCATGAACGATTTATCGAACAATTTGATCCAGATCGATCGTCCATGAATCATCTGTATTAAAAAAAAAAGAGAGATAAGAATTATTCGAAGCTCCGCCCACGCAATTCTCTTCTCTCTCTCTTTCGAGAGAGAGAGAGAGAGAGAGAGAGATTCCACTTTCCTCGATCGTCCGGTTATCGATCGTCGACCGAGAGGATTAAGGATTTATCGGTTCCCGGATAAAAGGGAGCACGACGTGAGGAAGAGGGCCGTGAAAGCTGGCCGCGATCGTAGGCCGCGAAGAGTCTACGTGTGGCGCTCCTCGATTCAACCGCTGTCCTTGAACCCCCTCGAGTGGTCAGCAGCCATACTTTTACCGTTAGTATTCCTACATCCTTCCATTCGTGAAGAGAGGAGAAGAGAGGACGGTGCAGAGGCGAGCACACACCACCGTGTGGCCCTCCCAGTAACTCACGAAGGGGGAACACAGTAAGAGCCGTGCGTCCTCCTCGTGTGAACGGCATAGCAACCGCCGCCGACACGCCGCTGCCAGTTCGGTGTTTGCCGGGGCCAACGAACAAAAGGCTCCCTCGTGCGCGTCTCTCTCTCTCTCTCTCTCTCCCTCTCTCTCTATCTACCTATCTATTTATCTATCTATCTCCTTCTTTCTCTCTTTCCTCGCCTCATCGCTCGATTTCCCCACTTTTTTCTCCTTTTTCTTCCTCTTCTTCTACTTTTTCTTCCTCTTTTTTCCCCTCTCCTTTTTCTTCCTCTTTCCTCCCGACTCGCCTCTCTTCGCCTCTCGTACGGTTTTTCCAACCGTCGTCCTGCGATCCAAGGCCAACGAAGATCGAAAAAGTGAGTAGGATAATCGCGTTATGTACGACGAACCGTTGAAATTATTCTCGTCCGGATCGTGGTGGTAGGCCGAACGCTCGTGATCCGCCTCTGTTAAACTCGGCGGTTTTTACACGGTTCATTTTTCACATCCAGCGTTGTGCTCGTCGAGGCCCAAGGCCGCTCGAGAAGGGACCCCGTAGAAGAAAGTGAAGAACAGGAAGACGGTCGTGTACGCGGTTGAATATATTCTCGTCGCGAATTCTCGCATATCGAAGGGATCCTCCTTTACGTTAAACGATTTTCGATCGATCAACGAGATCGAAAGAGAGAAGTGATCGAGTTCGTGCAAACGTGTCACGCGTTTCTTTTCCTCGAGAAAAATCTTGAAGTGAAAAATCGGGTCGCGAGTGGCGAGTCTATGATTGAAGGTAAGGTAGTCGTCGAATTGCCAGTGTTTTGTGACCGATAAGCGTGGAATATCGGAAAAAATGTAGCAATCGATGTAGAAAATTGGCCGCTTTCTCGTAACCGCTTGCTCGAAATAACGGTACAAGGATGTCGATACAGTTCGACGTGCATACGTATAACGCTTTCTTTTCGATCGATCGAATTCCAAAACGTGAAAAAAAGAAAAATGTTCTTTCCTTCTCCCCTTCTCTCGACGAAGAAGAATCTTAAAAATACACTCTGAGCCTGAGGTTAAAAAAAAAAAATATATCTTGTTATCGAATACAATATCCGATAAAAATGTCGTTTTTATATAATTGTCTCGTCATTATCTCTCCCGTTACTGGAACAAATGAACGAAAAGGTGAGATAAATCAACGCGATACTCTCGGTCTCTTTTTTCGAAACGAAGTAGCGGGGAAACGTGATTAATAAAGATCGTTCGCGGGCAACTCGAACTAATTAGCTTTCTCCCGAATAACATAAATCTCGTTCCAAAGTGAAACCCAGCCGTTTGTTTTCGACCGTTCGTATAAATTCCTCCTCTTTGCTTCTCGACGTTCCGCTCGGACTGCCCCTCGCCCCTCGTAACAACAATCTCTCGTGGAGGAACACGCAGGCGATTCTGCATTGTCATCGCGTCTTCGTCTTGCCGCTCGACCCGTACAAATTCAACGAGCGCGCATGACTCAGAGGTGGTGGAAGCTCGATTCGCGGAAAACAATGTGTCCCCCTTTCATCCGATTTCCTGTCCTGAAGAGTGTGTTCAACGCCTCGATAGAAGCTTTTCCTCTCCGATTTTCAAAGCTCGAACAATTAGCCTAAGAGATCGGCTGTCTAACTTCGAAATTAACTTCTCGACAGATGGACTCCCCCGAGCGCGAGATATACCGCGACCCAGACGTGGTGAGGGCCGACGACAGGGTGAACGAGGTGGTGCACACGGACACGGCGAGGAAGATGCTCTCCATCTTCCGGCAAATGGAGGAGAACGCGTGCAAGAAGGAATTGCCGAACGGGCCGAAGCCTTTGAAACGTTTCACGCCGCCCCCGGAGGACAAATACGCGAAGGCGACCGCGTCGGACTCCGAGGAGGACGAGGACGAGGATGGCGAGGAGTCGGAGGGCGAAGACAGCGGCGAGGAAAGGGATCCCAACTACGTGAGAGCTTCCGATAAGGTGAGCATGGCGCGTACGCTCAGTCTCATTGTTCGCCGTGGCAATAAACGGTGCCGTTTATTAACATCGAGCCAAGCCACTCGTCGAGATTCCTCCTCTCGCCGTTATGAATATGCACAATGAAAATTGCCGGGAGGATTGCTCAAGTGAGCCGATGGCGACACGGATATGCAGATGATACGACACCTGTCGCTGCGCAACATCCTTGGACAATGTGAAATTACAATAGAGAACCATCCATAAAATCCATCGGGAGAATATATCGTCTTAAATATAATATCTTTCTTTCTCTTCTTTTTTGTTGCTTTTTTTTCTTTCTTTTTTCGAAACGGAATAATTTAACCGGTTTTGCGTTAATAATCTCCTTGGAAATTCCATTCCGAAATGAATTTTGAGAATTGAGAATTTATTTCTGCAAAATTTCGAGCCTTGTGCTGCGTTGCAAAATTATTGCATTTAACTCGAACGAATCCCAATGGCAAGAAGCGGGCACCCGTTGCCCAATTCGCCGTAAAAGGAACTACGTGGAAATTATCGGAACGTGTATTTCAGGTTGAGGACGAGTTTTTGAAGCAAGCGCAGAACGCTGCCCGCGCAAAAACCTTGTGCGCGAAATTCGAACACTGGGAGGAGACGGATGGCAAAACGACGACGAGCAATCAGCACATCGCCGAGATGGAAATCGCTCAAAATTCGTCCGGAGAACAGCTGAGCATAGAGTCCGCGAGCAGTCTGAGAGCCCGTTTCGAGTCCCTCGGCTCGCAAACGAACGAATCGCCGCGCACACCTAAGGTCAAAGTCAATCGATTCGTGGTGAGTACTCTTTCGCAGGAACACTCTTTCGTTCACCTCCACCATTCATTCCTTCCTCCACCAGCGGCTCATTGATCCGACACTGAGACCCTCTGCAATCATTTTTTTTCTCTCTCTCTTTCTACCAAATTCACTCTTCTTGGGTGTCGAAAGTATAACGATTTCGATTACCAATCGCACTGCATATGATTTTTTTTCATTCATTTACTTATTTATCTCTTCTCTGCGTACTCTTGTTGTGATTTATCTATTTATTTATTCATTCTTATTTTTTTTTTTTTTGGTTGTGAAGCATGGTGTGTCTTGATAATCGTTGTCTTGTAACCTGCTGCCCAATTTTGTATAGATAGATAATGTTTTTCTTTTTTTTTTTTCTTCTTCCAAACGTATGCGTTCGTAAAATGTGTGTGCGTTCGTTCCCCCCTTTTGATCAAAGCACGATTTAATACTTGTTCTGCGATTATTATTTTTTTTTATATATATACATATATGTTTAGTTGCGACATTTTAATTTTGTTTTTGTCTCTACGACGAATATCTCTGTACGAATCGTTGCAATGTAACAACACGTACGTTCAACGAATCTTTTATTCACATAATAACAAACATTACACCCATAGAGATTGCTATTTTCATATATACGTATATATTCTTCCAAGATGAGTTGACTCGATTCTTTGAACGTACATGTAACGTGATGTAAGCCACGAGAATTTTCAGTTTACGTTTTATCAGTAGCTGTACTAACGCGAGAAAAAAAAGAAAAAACCATCTTGAAAGAGGAGACAAAGAAATAATTGGACACGCCGAAAATAACGACACGTAACCAATGTAATCTTCCAAACGAGTATGGTAACCACACTAAACAAGTTCCACACAGCATGACTAGTTAATAGCGTGATGACATGTGAACAATGTGTGCCGTGTACTTTTTTTCTTTCTTTTTTTTTTTTTTTTTTTTGATCTTGAGATTGCCGCCTGCAAAATGTTGGCCCAGCTTTTCCTCCAATCTTTAGTGATCTAGCGATTGAACTGTTCTCTGTTGAACGCGAGCAGTAAGGGGGCACCGGAAGTGGAGGATCGACGAGAGGCCCAAGAAGACGGACCTGACGGAGGAGGGCCTGACGAAGCGGAGCGAATAGAACGTTAGAGGATGAACGCGACGAGCACAAATATGCGCGCGCAACACACACACACACACACACATATATACACACACACGCAACGAGGAATATACGAATATATACAATTATATTCGTTGGAGACTTGCGCTGTTGAAGAGAGGAAGAACCGGCGGCTTCGTTGTCCGGGATCATTGTGCGGTTTTTACGTTTTTTTTAGAAGTCTTTTTCTAACAAAAGCGTTTCTTTTTAGTGAAACTAGCGTAGATTGTATCATATTGTACACCGACGCGAGGGTCAACGAACGAGAGATAATGACGAGAGATACGTCGAGCACTGTGTGCATCCGAAAACCACGGTAGGCTCGCCGAGCAAATTAAGCGGATCAATCGATGGAATTGAAACTCGTTGCAATACTTTAAGCATCGCCTCCCCCTGTCCTCTCTCTCTCTCTCTCTCTCTGTGCACTCTCGCAATATAATCGAGCGCTCGACGTATCGACGATAGATCAACGATCGTTTCAAAACGCTCTCGCTAATTTGAATCATCATCTTGGTGTTGTTGGCCGCCGAATTTTTCGAATCGAATCTTTTAATACGCATTTGTAATACTTTTCAATACGGGATATTTAAGATGGAAATGTTCGGAGAAACAGTGGATGGACGAGCCTCTCGAGGACGCAGCGAGTAGCAAAAGTGTTTGGGGATATTATTTTATCGCGTGCCAAATGGAGATTGGAGATTGCATCGTCATAACGCAACGTTCGTTACGCGTGTACACACACGGAAAATAATTTATCGTATCGTCACGTGAAATTTTTATATATTTGCGACAGGGTGCCAAATTGAGTCGAATAACCATCTACTGATCGAATCTACTGTCTGCGTCGTTGAGATTCGGTAATTCGTCT